CAAAAAACAAATACGGCCACCTTTGGCACGCACAGCTGTCATCGCCCAGCAGGGCGATAGAAATAAATCTATCGCCATGAAACGCCGCCAAGCGAACTTCGCATTTCGCTTTGGCTGTGTTCAATTTCATATGCTTGCGGGTGTTCTAATTTTGACAGCGCGAATTTCGCTGTGGTGAGTTCGCCGTTCGCCGGCATTGTATTTCAGCTATAACTTTGCCTGTTATTGTTTTTATTTTCTCATATGCTTTTGCCGCTGTATGGTATTGGTGACCGTGGTGGTGGTGGAAGTAATTGCCGTGGCTGCTGTTATTTGATGCACTTCATTCCATTCCATTGTCGGCTGCTTTAATTGTCACTTGCGTGGTTTTCTTTCCATGTACATTAGGGTGATTCAAATAAGCTAACCTAAGTGATTTATGGCCTTAAAAGGACCTATTTACTGAGAAGAAAATTGTCCCATTTGGAAAAATTTTTATTCCAATTTTAAAAATGTCGGCGCGCATTTGAAGTTTTCCATGTAAATAACATGTAATAAATTTGTTTTCATTAAAAATGTTACAACTATTGAACCGTTCGAGGTATAAGTTTTTTCTGGGCATATTCTTGTAGGGCATTAAATTCTCTTATTATCTGGTTCTCTTAGAGATGATTAAGAACAGTGTTACCGTTGTGCGACTAAAATGTCAAAATTACACTTTTTGGAGATCGATGCCCCTTGGCACCGCCTTTTTAAAAATAGCCTGATTGAGACATTCTTTCTTAAGCTAAGCGTACACGTTAGAGAAATCTCTCGAGAGTTTCACTGAAATAAAAATCTCCTCTCTCAATTAAGTTTACACGGTAGAGCAACTCTAGGAGATATTCACTCTAGCTAGAGACAAAATAGAGAAATTTCAACTTTTACCTATCACGTACTCTACAAGCTGTGTACACGGTAGACAATAGTTACCTCTCGCCTAGAGTTAGTTTTCTATCTCGAATTGTTGTCAACGCTTGTTGTATGTATATAACGTCGTTTAAAGTGCAAAACCGCGTATCAACAAAATCCAAAACCGCGTATCAGCAAAATGCAAAACCGCGTATATGAAGTTGTAGAAATTATTTTCTAGAGTGTAAAAACACTCATATTTCAAAATGATTCTCCTTTCTATAATGCAATCGCATATCTGACTATTATATGGAATGGATAAGGATTGAGCCAAGAGCTTGTGTGAGCAAATCCAATTTTTGGCAGCCAATGTCAGTTACGCGGTTTTGCAGAATGACGATACGCGGTTTTGTACTTTAAACGACGATATGCATTTATATCAAAGCCACGATGTAGAAAATATAGTTGGCGCCATCAGCGGAGCGCTAACCCTTCATCGATTTGTCAGCATTCACCTATTTTCTGCCGTCATAAAATACATTTTCGCAATATGAACAAGAATTAAATTTTCAAATTGTACTTATTTGCCGAAAAAAATTCTACCTAAAAGTAGACAAAAGTACCTAAAAATTAAACATGGCAACCTCTCTTTTCGGTACTATGTGCACTTTTGGACTCGCATCAAACAACCTTTAATATTTAAAATTCCTTTGAAAGGAGTTTCTCCGAGCAGTTCCAGCCAAACTACTATATATATGTATGTAGGTTAGAGTGGTCCAAAAAAATAAAGTCGGAGTTTTAATGCCGGCACACCCTAGGATTGATCTATATCGAAAAAAATATACCCCTATTTTTTTATTTTGAAATCAAAAAATATTTAGGGAGTGCTCAAAGCGCTCAAAGTTTTCCATGTATTTTATATGGAGAAAAAACAATTTTTCGTAGAAATGGTATAAAACTCTTGAAAATCAGTATTTTTCGACCGGAAACCTGTGGTTCTCTTCAGGAGACTTCCAGTATTAATATCCAATTGTTTATTTTACCATTTTTTATGATTAAAGATTTTTTATTGGTCCCCCCATTGCATTTTCTAAGGGCTTTGAGGACCTATAAAATATACTTACCATGAAAAAGTTGTTAAAGAAACAATTGAGTATTATTATTGGGAATCTCCTGAAGATAAGTAAAGTTTTCCGATCGAAAAATATTGATTTTCAAGAATTCTACACTATTTCTACGAAAAGATGTTTTTTCTCCATGTAAAATACATGAAAAACTTTGAGCGCTTTGAGCACTACCTAAATTATTTTTTATTTCAAAATAAAAAAATATGGGTATATTTTTTTCGGTATGTAACAATCCTAGGGGGTGGCGGCATTAAAAATCCGACCTTATTTTTTTACATACATTTTTGGACCACTTTAATGTAGGTATTCACCAAGTTGAGCAAGGGGACTGGCACTCTGACAAAACAGCAGATAACTCAAGCAACGTGTGTTGCCAGATTGCCAGACCACCTGCTCAATTTGTGAATACCCCTTATGTTTTAACCAATAATTATGTCCCTTGCAAAGGACGGAGGCTATTGGAAAAGCCATTGAAATGCCAATGAAAATAAGAGGATGATTCCCGGTGCATTACTTGGCTACGTTCTAAATGTACTTAAAATGGTGTGCTTGTATCGAATATACGAATTAATATCGTAGTCATTTCAAAATGTAACAATCTGTAATGAATTTCATTGTCAAGACTTTACTAAACGTCTCCATAGATAAAAAAGTCTATTTAGCTTGCTAAATAGAGCGTAGAGTTGTCGTAGAGTTTTCGATCTAGCTTTGTTGGACTGTGTACACGGCGAAAAGTCTCGCTAAATAACTATCACATGGACTTTGTAGGTGAGTCTCTCGTAGAGCTCTATTGAGTGTTTACACGTCTCTAGGGAGATTTTTGTCTAAATCTCGCGTTTTTGCTCTACCGTGTACACTTAGCTTTATATCGGACACCAAATTTGGTGGCACACTTTCGATTGGCTTAAAATTTTTTTTTTATGGGTTCTATACATGAAATAAGCTAACACGTGTGCGAGGAATTTTTTTGAATATTTTTTTTCTGAAATATGATCTGTCAAAGTTTACATTTTTCGGGATTCTGACTAATCATTTACTACTTCAAGTCGTTATATCTCGGGTTCTGCGCATCGTAGAGACTTTATATTAAGGTCGTCTTAAAGCTAAAGAAACTGGCTTAACATTTCTATATATAAGGTGGTCAAGATTATCCCAAAGCTAAATTAGCTTTTAACAATTTTACTTTTTGAAGATGATTTGCGTAGGCAAGACCAGTAAATTAGGGATTTAAATTACACCACCGTATTCCTTGTTTAATTCTCTATAAAAAACATGTTCAAAAAAATTGGGGGTTTCTTAAGAACTACATATTTTTAAAATAATTTGTTTTATTTACGAGAATCAACAATTTTTTGTAATTGGTTTTCGAAAACTTTTGTTGAGATATATTTAGTAAGGTGTTAAACATCGGGTTTTGCCAAGAATTTAATTTTATTGCGGATTCCGAAAGAATACATGTCCAGGTATAATATTTGCATGGCAAGATTTTTCTTTAAGGCGACAAACCCCTAGAAATGGGCGTGGCAATTGTAGGACTAAAGTTAGCGAAACGTAGATTTTATTGCGGATTTCGGCAGAATATCGCTTCGTTAACAACATTTGTTCAACAACTTTTTCAATCAAAGAATAAAGATGAAGTCTCTACGATGTGCAGAACCCGATATAACGATTTGAAGTAGAACATGATTAGCTAGAATCACGAAAAAATGCAAACTCTGACAGATCATATCTCCGAAGGAAAAAAAAAAAAAAAATTGCTCGAACGCGTGCTAGCTTATTTCATGTATAGAACCCATATATGTAATACTCCTATATTGGCAGTAAGAGCTAGTACCGTCCGAAAACACTACAGTACAGATATATCAATAAACACGTACGAAGAAAAGGAACGCATACGTTTATAAATAAACATGTACACAACACATATACAACAAGTAAGAAAGTCTAAGTTCGGGCGGAGCCGAACATTAAATACCCGGCGCAAGTATTAAATATATCCGCTAGATGCTAAGCCGGGGTGTATCAATTTTGAGTAAATTAGCGTCCGTAGATTTCGAAATATTGAAGTTTCAAGCATTTCTGAAATTTACCGTTATATGAGAAGCGGCCGTTATTTTAGTCCGATTTCAATAATTTTCAACGGTTTGCTTATATGTGGCAAGCACAATAACCACACCGAGTTTGGTACAAATTGGTAGAACGGTTACCGATATACTTATATGTGATCATAAGTGGGCGGTGCCATGCCCATTTTCCAAAATTTTACCATAAACGTATTTCTTGGTAAAGAATTGTTGCAAGCATCAATTTTGAATAAATTAGCTTTAATATTTACTGATTTATCGAAGATTTTGTATTTCTCTAAATTACAGTTATATGGGATGTGGGCGTGGTTATTGTCCGATTTTAAAAATTTCGGCGATTTTTTATGCTGTACCAAGACCAACCAACTGTGCCAAGTTTGGAAGAAATTGGTGCAGCGGTTACCAAGATATACACATGTAACCATAAGTGGGCGTGGCTACGCCCATTTTCCAAAAATTTACACTATTCTTATTTTTCGTCTAAAAATTGTTGTAAATATCAATTTTGAGTGAATTATCTTCAGTAGTTACTAAAATATCGCAGTTTTCGTATTTCTGGAAATTACGG